CACACACATATACATACACGTACATGACAACAATGATAGAGCTCAGAGCAATCTCAGTTAATGGGAATTCCGGGCACTTCCATAACACTGCAAATGCTCTCTTTTGAGAAGGGTCAATTTGCTGAATTGTGATGGCAAAAATATTGAAAAGGTACTTGGATAAATCTCACAAAACAATCAGTGTGTGCAGGGAGCAAGGGAGCAGTGGCATAGAGGAGTTAGAAAAGCTCTTTGGTGGCTGGCTGGCTGGTTCACTGCAAGTGAAGATGAATAATTTAGGGAACACAAAGAAATCAATGTGGCATCTTTAGTTAATTTGATTTGCCGCATTAGAGAACAACTGGCTGCCTTATCTAATTACACACACATATGCTTGGGTAATTGTTGCAAAGTCAATAGTAAACAGGCTACATTCCTTTGAACAATTTCTACCACTGCTGCTCAACTTTGGGCTGCATGTTGGCTTTGAAGTCCTGCCCTGAGCTGTAGAGTCAGAGGGAGTGATCCAAGTCTGGTGTGTGCCCCTCAATGCGGTGAGGACTACTAGATTACTCTGCTCTATTTGTACTGGGGAGCATTGGCGCTATGTGATGCAATGTAGTCTTTTTTATTTATTTATTATTTATTGGGCTTATTTTAAATTTCCTTTACTGATATGAGCAGCTGAAGAGTGACAGGAAAGTAGGGAGAGAGAAAGAGGGAATTATATTCAGCAAAGTGGGTTGGAACTGTGTTAGCCATCTGAACGTGCTAATATAGTTTCTGCAGGTGGTAACACTTGTACAATATAATCCAACACAATTGTCTGATTATGCCAGAGTGAAGCTGATGATATACTCTTTTGTTGAAAATCTTACAGATATCTCACAGGTGTTCTTTTCTGTTCCATATGCATATGAGGACCAAATAACATGAAAAACTTCATATACAGTTTAGGCAAAGCTGACACACAAAAAGCTTCACAAGATATATTTTTTCCAACCCTTTGTAGAGACTAAATAAATAAATAAATAAATAAGGTTTTAAGTTCTAAGTCTACCTACACACTGAGAAATCAAGTTACAGGAATGGACCTAAAAGGGTACAAATGCTTTGTCGCTCCAGCTGTACCCTTGCAGGCTACAATCACTGTACCTTTGAAAATGGTAAATTTTTGTACCTTTTTGTCTGTACCTCTAACAAAACATTTCTGTACCTCCAGTACCAAAAATGTACCTTTATGTCCAGGTACAAAAATGTGCCCATTGGAAAGGTACAAAATTGGTACCTAATGAAGTACAGCTGGAGTGACACGCCATTTTGTACCTTTATGTGGCAAAACCAAACTTCACACTTAAAGACAATAAATAGATTTTTTTTTTTTTTTTTAAACCTTCATTTATTAAGGGAAGGTTCACTGAGAGGGAGCATTTTGCAGGAACACCCTGATCACATTCGCACTGTTATACATTCATACCTGGAAGCTGCCCTGTACAACCGGATGGGGTTAAGGGCCTTGCTCAAGGGCACCTCTGTGGTGCAGGTGATGTCCCTTTTCCCACCCAGATTTATCCTGCCTGTTCTGGGACTGAACTGACGACCTCCCGCTTACAAGCTTAGGCCACCACTGCCCATTTACATCTTTTAACACTTTTCAGTACCTTTTCTTTGTATAGTTCAGATAAAACAGATTTTTCAATAACAAGTGAATGCTGTAACGGCCTAAATCAAGTTTTAAACTCTGTAAGCTTCAGCAGTGCCGACTTAATGCAGACTGCAGGGGAAAGAACGGGTTGCACTCAGCAGGGAGGGCCACAGTATACAATAAAGTTAAATAAATACAGAAAAACGGGTCCCCATGGAGCAATGCCAAAGAATAAGAAAATAGATTAACAATAAAACAGTGATAATACTTAAATAAAATAAAATTGGGAGTAATGGTAATGGCTACTGGAAACATTTCACTCTGCTGCAGTGACAATTAACTACTTGATTTAATGGAAACTATAACTCAAATAGATCCATTGTGAACTTGCCAATACATACTGAAGAACAGTGTCTTGCCCGAAACGTCCATGTGGCAAAATTAAAAAAGCTGAATGGAAGTACTGCCCTAGTTCTGTTCTCATGCAATTATTCCTAGGCCACACAGACCAAGAATTGAATGGAAATTTACTAGTAGCCTATTTTATTTTAAAATATCCAACTCTCTATTTCTCTCTCTCTCTCTCTCTCTATTTGCGCTAACATTTTCCTGTACCTTAAGCTTGTGAAAAGTACAATTATGTACCCCTTTCTGTCAGCCATGATTTTGTACCTTTTTCTTAACTTACAGGGTACTTTTCAGATAAATGTACCTTTGGGTACAGAAATGATACCCCTATTTCTCGGTGTGTATACTGTGCAGAGTGTCTTAATCTCTGCAGTGAGCTCCATGAGTGTGTGAACAGAGACGCTTTGTTTTGGCTCTGTGCTCTTAATAGTTTGTATGTGGAACAATGTAATGGCCATGAAGTAAGCTGAAACTAGTCACAGCTGAACACTCCGAGATACAAACAGAACAAAATCGAACTGAAAAGGCTGGAAAGAAATACTTGATGATAAGATATCAACAGTCGGCTGATCTTGATGGGCTGAAGACTTTTAGAAGTTGCCGCACAGTAAGGAATTTTCATTTGAGATAAAATAAAAAAGGAAAACACTTATTGAACATTATCTTTAGTCATAAAAGATTCTGGCAAGCTGAATAAAGGGTGTGTGTGTGTGTGGGGGGGGGACTTGTTCATTTGATAGCCTGAATAGCCTGAAATTAGGGCTGACACTCCAACCTCTTGGTCATCGTATCATTTCACATTCAAATATTATAACAGTCTGGTGATAAAACACTGAACAGTGCGTCGTTGTCTAAACACTTCCTGAGCTGGCTGTATGTGTTCAGCTCTATAGTAAACGCCTCGTTGTGACTTGTATGAACAGCCCTGGCATAATGTGGTGTTTGTGGTCCTGTTGGGCTCTCAGAGCTCCCCCTGCATTAGCTGATAGCCTGCCTCCTGTCAGACCTCCCTCTTAATCCGGATGGTCATTGGAGCTGTTGCTGGACTCCCAGGCAGAGG